TGACAAATTTCCGGAAAAGACAATCCTGTTTTTTTTCTTTTCCCTGAAATTTTTGGAGTCAAGAATGGGAAGAATTCAAGAGCCCGAGACCTTTGGTGGTCAGTTGACGTTACGCTTTTCTCAAAAACGGTTGGCTCACTGGGTAAACAAACGAAAATGGACTGCGAATAAATATTCGTCTACCCGAGGTACTCGTATTGGCATGGTAAGAGCGAATACCCGTATGCCTGGTCATGATCCAGTGGTCGAGCGCGTGAATGGACGCTTTTCCGCTCTCAAGGGGCTGAAAAAAGAGGGGGGGAGAGGAAAAAAAAAACTGAGAATAGAGCACACATGCAAGGGGGTGTTCAGAGGGGGTTAAAAGGAAGAGGGTGCACGAGTGGGCGTGCGTGAGGGATTTAGGGACCTTTAATGGAGACCGACCGAGCGTGATACCGCGGGAAAAAAAGAAGAAATTCCTCAACTTTTAACGCCCGCCACAATTGAAAAACGAGAGTACCGCATTTTTACATCTCAAAATATTTTATTTTCTCGAGTACTTTGAGTTTGGCGCAAAATTCTGGGACGAAAGAGTAGATCTGTGCATAATTCAGGGTAACGCTAATTGATACTGAATTATTAAGTCATTCACCGAAAGATCACACTGAGTTTCTGGTCTAAATGAGGAATACGGAAGACCAGTGAAGAATGGAGTCGCGAATGAGTGAAATGGAATTTAGAATTACTACGGAATTCAGTGGTGCGGCTCGAATTTGGGCGGACGACGATTGGAAGGCAATCGGTTTCTTTGAAAAAATTCAGCAACAAAATGAAATAATTGCGAGAAAAAATAATGAGATGTGGCTGGTCCAATCGGAGAATTCCGGAATTTAGTCGGAGGTCCATTTCTGTTTATCATTTTTTTTGAGGAGTCAGGACTGATTGATACCAAGCGAATGAAATTTTAATCAGAAATTCTCTCGATTCGTTAACTAATTCGACTGCAGTTGAGAAATAATCAATCAATTAGCATGTACCTCTTCTTAGAAACTTGACTCCCCGGTTATTTCCACCAACCTGCCATAATACTTTATGTACACACAACCAAGCACAAAAACGGGATAAATACGGAGAAAAATTATTCCCACGGCATTTGGCGTTTGGCGTTCGGCATTCTTCAAACGTACCTCCGAGAAACAACAGAAACAAATACAGCGCGGTTCTCCAATACAAACATCAAACAACTGCTGCGGCGATAACCAAAAAAAAAAGGAAGTGATGTAAAAATAAAAATGGAAATCTTCGGAGAAGGCTGAAAACACCGCCGACAACCGTCTATTTTATTTCTCCTCTTTTTTTCTCTCTCGGGGAGGCTTTTTTTTTTCTTATGGAGAGGTCCGAGCTAGCTGACTAAGGCACTACGAAAAGCATCTCCGACAATTTTCCAAGCCAAAACGAAGAGCAACCCTCTGGCATCACAAATTCAAGGAAAAGGGTCGGACGATTAACCACCCGGTGAAACTCATTTTTACGTTGTTTGATTTTCATTAACGATCTACCCAACAAACCCACTGAATTCCGGAAATTCTAATGAAATTTTTCTCTTATTAAATCACCAATTCAATACTGTAAAATACCAACACTGATTCCAACAATTTTTACAAAATCATTTTTACCATGAAAAAATTGCAATAACGCGTGCACGACGAAGAACATTGAATAAAAAATTCCGCCATTGTTCCGCGCTTGGAAAAAATGGCGAGATAATAAATGAAATATAATAAATGAGTGATAAATAAAATGACGAAAAATCTAATTTTTATTGTATATTTATTTCTGTGTGTGTAAAATACTCGTCAAATACAGTATACTCTCACGCATTGACGCGCAATATTCTCAACACCGGTTGCCACGGAGGTACATCCCCTGATTATGCGAGCGCATGACTGAATGTAACGCGATTTAATATTAAAATATTATGACAAACGTCAACAGCCGTAGCCCGGGTATATTCGAATTCGAATGAGACACTTGGAAAGGAACACTCGGTCCCTGATTGGCGCCCGTCCGTGTGAATACCAAACGAGTCTGAAGAGACACCTTTCCTCTTCCCCTCTCTAATAAAAATCTTTCATATTTATTTTTCCTTGTTTCCCCGTGAATTTATCGGCGCGTACGTGAATTAATCTTACCTCCAAACTGTTATCTCAAGCGATAAAAATAACAATAGAAGTGAATCACACGAGAGTAAAGATCATAAATATAGTGTGTTGTACTGGGGATAAAGAGAGAAATAAAATGAGGAGCCCTCGGTGTTTCTCTACGTTTTAAAGATTCTCTGGGAATAAATCCAAATAGTAAACAGATGAAGGGAGAAGCGATTGCTAATATATTGACATTTTTTTTCAGTCGCCAAATTTTCCGAGCTCTCATGATAGAATTAATCATAAATTAATATAAATCTTATGAAAAATTATAAAGTTATAAATTCCAGAATGGAATGGGAATATTAATCATGAACATTTTCACAAGAGTAATTCTATGAAAATAGCAGGTGTTCCAGAGAGTATGAATTTCTTCATGACCTATGGCACAATTGGACTGCTGAACGTCATGAAAATTGACTTTTACATGTGCTACAAATAACTTATCCATGATGGTGTTTTCATCTTCCTTAAATTTTGGATGTGTAACCTAAAAACTGATTCCAATGCAAAATTGACTCATCTCACTTTACTAGTCCGTTATTGAAATTTATTCAGGATTATCAAGAGTTACAGTACCCGAAAGTAGCCTCGGTGGAGAGTGGGAGGAATTTCCGGTTAGAAACCCATGATGACGACAAATCTTATCGATCACAGCCATTCGAAATTTTATTAAATATCATCTAAATATAAAATATATACTGTACAGTAAATACCCCTTTCTCCATCTTCATCTCTCCCTTCAAATCAGCATCACTATTATCATCAATTTCTCTCCAATATTTTATTTCACTCCGTCACATTCTTGTTATATCTCAAAATTTTTCCAAACTAGTGCACTTTTGCCAGGTGCACTTGAAAGTACTTTTGAAGTTGGTAAACTACTTGCAGTTGTGCAACAAAAAGATGAAAGTAGGATAGAGATATGAATATCCACGGTTGGAGCCAACCCTCTGGCAAAATCCATGCTTCTATGTCTGTTATTTCTGTCTCTGTCTGTGGGAACAAAGTGAAAATCCAGAAAACCCTCAGTGCTCTCTCCGAGTTCTATGCTAATCTTATTTGTGTACGATTACGTATGTTTATAACATGCAAAGAAATTCCCCGTGAGCGTTATCAGTGTTTAGTCAGGAGCGTCAACCACAGGGCATCCACCCACCTCGCCTGACAAAAAAGTGTCTCCACGCTTTGTACTTGCTTCAATGAAACACAGAACGTTTGCAAAAAGAAAATAAGCAAAAATGTTATTTCACGGTATTTATCTTGATCCAAGGACTGGTTATTTCCGTTATTTCCGCCAATAAATATTCTTCTGCTCATGGAAGCGATGGCACCAGGAATCCCAGAAAAATTTTACTCGTCAGCTCAATGAACTTTTCTCTTTGCATTTTCATTATGTCCTTCCCAATGATTTCATATTTTTCTTGTCAACTCACTCGGTGGTGGGGAAATATTCCATGTTGAGTGAAATCTTAATCATCCAATTATTTGATATCAAGTGAGACAAAAGGATGAGACTCATTTAAGATAATTGCACTTTTCTTTATCATACACTCATCTCCCCCATTCAGTTCTTTAAACATCTTCAAAATTAACCCCAGTGCATTTTACTTTTAATTTCAGGACGAGTTTAATTAATAAACCTCTCTCAAACGTACCCCCAACATTTGTCCGATCTTTTTTTTTTGAAATCCTCGTGTCTCGGTTTTTGCGTTGAGTTGCTTGAAGAGCAGATGAAGATCTTAAGACGTCAAGAAAAGATTGAATAAAGACCGATGACCTGTTGTTGGCTGTTCAGATTTCTTAGCCCTCCTGAAAGATGAAAAAAAATACCGCTTCACCCGGTATTTGAATTCATTGGCAACAGGGAAGTCTCATATCTTTTATATATTAGAATTCTCACTCCACTCGCCCTGTTTACTGTTTGGATTTATTCCTCCATCTTTGGAAAGAGTGGAAACGCGCCTTAGACTTTTCCGCTCATTTTATTTTGTGTTTAAACGATGAAAAAATTAAGGAGTAATATTCCAGTTAAAATCATTACGAAGAGAATTGATTTTAACTCTCGGAAAATGAAACGGCAGAATGAATTATCATGTCAACTTTCCACCAGCACAGCATTCTCCAGGTTTAGCTGGAAAAAGCTCCGGTAATATACGATTCCAACTAAAATACAAACTTAAAGTATATAAACGCATTTACCAACCGCAAATGCGTTTGCATAACTCAACTCTGATTTTCAAAGTTTGAAATGAAGAAGAAATTTTATCTCCTAAACCAAAACACAGGATGAGAATATGGAGAACATTGTAACTGGCACTCATCGGGCATCATCTTCCCAACAAAACTCACCCCATCATCCCCAAAAACTCTTCTCGCATGTCTCTGTCTTACCCACGACATCCGTTTTCATTCAAGGGGGTGAGTTTTCCACGGAAGTATATATTCCTAACGGATGAATCCGTCCGGTACCTCATTCCATGAATCTACAAAACCTACTTGCGGGGAAATTGTGAGACGGTGGAAGTTAATAAAACAAATCCCCGTAATGCAAACAGTTGAGCGCACAGAGATTGTTGGTTGATGGGAATGAGTTTTTGGGCGCATTCGAGTTTTCCACAACAACGATGGGATTTTCACTATTTTGCTAAGATCAATAGTAGGGGAATGTCAAACAAATACGAGAATTTTCATTTTGACGAGATAAATTTCACAATTTTGTAAAAATACTGATAACTAAGTCCAGAATAAATCAATTAATTATAAATGTTAAATATTTTTTTCCCCACAAATCAAATGGAATTCAATCAATTGCAGGCAACGAATCTGTACGCAGCCCTGAAGCAACAACAATCACGTGATTTAGCTTGGGAACGTGAAAGAGAGAAGGATCGAGTGCAGCAAGCGAGAATTAGAGAAAGAGGTGGTGGAGGTGGTGGAGGTGGTGTCGGTGGTGGTGGTGGTGGAGGTGGTGGTGGCTCTGAAGGGGCCGATCAATCAGATATCACAATCGAGTATAGAAGCAATGGGAAGCTCAGTCCCGCTGGGCAGCATACAGTGACAGCAGCACTCATGACCCAGCAAAAGCAACCGATAATTGCCCAACAGTCGCACCAACCAAGTTCAGGGACACCAGGCTCACAGCCTAGTCCCCATCAGAGTCCCCAAGCACCCCAAAGGGCATCACCCACTAATTCAATTCAGGGACCACTGCAACCAGGTGGCCCACCTGGTGGTCCACCCATTCAGAATTCCACCCAGATGATGCTCAGCCCAGCGAGCGGAATCCATCAGATGCAGCAGCTACTACAACAGCAAACCTGGAGTCCAACTCAGCTGCAATCGATCATGCAGCATACTTTGTATTTGCAACAGCAGCAGCAACAGCAACATCATCAGGTTCGAGATTTTTAAATGTTTGATCGCACCTGTTATGTAATTGAATAGTCAAACGGGTTGAATTGTTGCTGCATTCATTTCTGTCCACGGAATTCAGAATTACTGTTCAGAATTACTGAACTATTCGGAAAATCTTAATAGTCGTAATGTAGGGAAGACAGGGGCAAAATGGACACTTTAAGAACAAAAAACAATTTTTTCTCGAGAATATATGCTTGAGCCTTTTCAAATGGCTCGGAGTGTAATCATTTTTAATATTCATTACATTTATTAATTCTGAATAAATTTTATAATCGAAAAATTGAAACTGGCGGCTCAATTTTCATTTAGCCAGGCGCGATCTATATAGCCACTATAGTATTCCATTATTCATGTTGGAATATTTAAGTACAGATTCTAATTGTGTTGTTTTCATAATTAAAACAAAAAAATAATGGAAATGAAAAAATAAAAAAATCTGGAGAATCAACATATTGAACGGTGTCCGTGTTGCCCTCAGTGTTCGTTCTACACCCATGTCCCCTCCATTCAATGGAAAAAATGTTAATGGATTTTTTTCTAATCAATAGGAGTCTTCTTCCGATCATGCTGCCAGTCAAGAACGCCTCGGCTATTTCTCCCTGAAAAACGTGAGTCCGAATTACCATAGTTTGTTGTTATAAGTGGAAAGTAGAGGATAAATTCTCCACTTGACCAATCAGTAATTCTAATTGTAAAAAAGTATAATCATAACAAGCGATGGGGTAAGAGGGAGTTTTACCCTCTTACCATTCAGTTGGGAAAACACTCGGTGAACAACTTGGGAGGGGTTCGGTAGATTAATCGTGCCTTTATTAAAAAGGTACATTAATTGGTGAGGTTTTAATGAAAAATTCACGTCCAAAGATGAATATAGCGATGAGGGAGATTTCTTCGATTCCAGGTCACTGGGATTAATTAATTAATTCACAAAGTTCAAGATGCAGGAAGGAAGTTTTACGCCGAGCTCTCTTTTTTTACAACTTTAAAAAACTCTGCTTTTATTTCTTTCCCTTTTTTTCCCTTCTTAGTTCTCTTCCTTTCGTTTTGTTATGAAGTACTGAAATGCTTTTCGGTCTGTGCAAACACTTGCTCCCTTCTATATCGTTGTGATAACAATAAACCCTCGTGTTGCTTACTCCTCAAACTCGCAAGACTCTTCAACCCCTTCAACTTGTCAACTTTGTGAAAATTCTTCGGTAAAATAATAGTTGATAAATTTTCAATTACTCAAAAAATACATTTCCATTTTCCTCACAAAAAATCTCATTGCAAAATTTTCCTTTCTCATAATTCATCTACTAATAGAACAAAATCCGTTGTTAAACTAAAATTAAAGATTAATCCCCTTCGCTTTTTATCATTCCCTATTTAAATGCTGTGGAGACATTAAAATCCTTTTTGAATTGCACAAAAAAATTGATTGTCTCCGGATTCGCAAAATCGTATGTTATTTCAAGAATCCCCTCGAGGTCAAATAATGGGAAAAATGTTTGTTTGCCGAGTGGGAAGTAACGATTATAGTTGAGATACAATTAGAGGTGGACAATACAATGCAATAAGCAGAAGTGGACTGGGGTGGTTATATAAATACTTGTGGTATAGTTGTTGCAAGGGGAGTTAGACGGTCTGCCTGGATAAATATTGAATGGTCATGTGAAAATATACACTGCTCGACCTTACTTCTACCTGTCATCTTCCTCCCCCCCGATCACAAGTAACAAATCTACTTGTCCATTTCTATGGAGATGTTTACGTCAATTGAGTAATGTACCTAAGACCCGGATCAATTCCAAGAAAAATCCCTCCATAAATATTTTCCAATTGACTCTTTACATTTCACTGCAGAAAATAATTCACCGAATTAATATCCAATACAATTCGCACAATAATATCAACATAATAAATACAGATAAAAAATTCAAGACGATTCATTCCCCTAGATGGAAAATATATTAAAGAAATTTGCGCAATTCTCCTGCACTTATTATCATTTACAATGGTCATTATCCCATTATCATCCCTTTCATTTATGCTGATATGATGAATGGGATTTTACCTCGTACTTTGGAAACCGTGTGCCTTCCCCTTAGCAAAAGACTAGTGGATGGGCTGTACGTCCCGGAAAAACTTACGGTTTGATATTCGCAGGGTGGCCACGAGGGGATGATGAAAATAACGCAGGGGTGGTTATGAAGTGAGAGGTGGGAGGGGTGGAAAGCTCGGGCAATTAAGCGACGCCGTCAGCCGTTGTGTCTCGGTGTTTGTCTTCGAGGTATCCCATAAAATTCTAGGGCCAAAACCATCCACCCACCCCATCATCTTTTCCCCTCTGACTGGCCACCCCTTTCCCCTCATCCCTCCTGATTTATTCATCACCCTTGGAAAGAAAACGCGGCGTTATTCTTTGCATCTGCTTTTCTCCGTGGGACTTCACTCGCGAGTTTCTTTCATTCCGGCAACTTCCAGTTTACTGTCCTCTGATTGTTTCGATTTTTTATTTTTGTTCCATTCAAGGGTAGATTTGAAATGTTTGGATAGATTTCATTACAGGAAGATCGTCCTATTTATGATTCGAGACGTAATTTAATGGACGGAGTTTGTCAGCCTGACGTGCAGCAGGGGAATCCCTCAGCTGTTTAATGATACATTACTCCTCATTATCTTTTATTTGATTTTTTTTTTCAGCATCAGCATCAATTAGCCGAATTGGGGAGGAAACAGCTAGAGCAGAATATGCAGCAGCTCCAAGAGCAGCTACAGTTGAACCTCATTCAACAGACACACCTAATGCAGACTGCTGACAAAAAGAAATCGTCTGTGCCACTTCAGCAACTAGGAATTCAGCAGCAACAAATTATTCAACAGTTGCAAATCACACGAGGCCAGTACGGTCTATTGCAGCAGGGATTGAGTTTACAGGGGCACAATCATTCGTCCGGTAATTTACCTGGTGAACCACTGCCAGGGTGGAAGTCAGAGTCTTCAGAAGGAGGTGATAGTCATCAGAATTCAAGTATACCAAAGTCAGCGGCTAGTTCGAATGGTAAATAAAAAAGGGGATTCGAACGAAACGAGAATAGATCGTTTGAAAATTTTCAACGAATGATTTTTATTTCCGCATAATCGGAATAATGCCAATTATATTTCAGGTTTAATTAATTCAATAGCGTTGAGTCGGAGGTCCGATGTGAATGGTACATCAGGTCTCGATGAAAAACCTTTAGACGTGTCCTGCAACGACAAAGGGAATCCCCTGTATGGCCACGGGGTTTGCAAATGGCCTAGCTGTGAAGTACTCTGCGAAGACTATCAAGCATTCCGCAAGTCAGTATTCAATTCAAAGATCAACTGCGCCAAAAGTTCACTCGAATAATATTCCGAAGTAATCCGTTTCTAGAATGAACACCATTCGTTTAAATCATCTAAATATCTTTGAAAAATTAATCAGAGTGGATTGTCGAAATTTGGAGATAAAAAAAATCACCTTACTCAGCATTGACGTGTTCAGACTCAAGCCTCACCCCAGTGTCTTTCACCTTCCCCCCATCCCCGTAATCACGGTCTCGCCAAGTCCCCAAACAAGTCGTTGAGAAAAAAAAATGAGAAGGAAAAGAAGAACGCTAATTACCTTTGTCTCATTAATATTCACGACATTCGACCGCATCGTTATGCCTCTCTGTCCTAATCCTCCCACCAGGCTTTAACAAACTCCCCCCACCGTCAACCCCTCAATTCTCTTGCCTTGGTGGTTTCTTCGGGCGCCCCTTCCCCTTGGAGCAAAAGAATTGACATCAAAGGGAAACCCAAGTGTCTAATTCTTTTTTTTTTCACCCAACCTCCTTTCTTCGCACATTTTATTGGACAAAAAGAGTAGATGAGCTTATTTGTGGGGGATTTTTGGTTTTGTACTGCAGACATTTGAATACAGAGCATACACTCGATGACAGATCGACGGCGCAGGCGAGGGTACAGTTGCAAGTTGTTACACAGCTGGAGATTCAATTGCAGAAGGAGAGAGATATATTAGCGGCGATGATGCATCATCTGCATGTGGCTAAACAAATAGCGTCGCCTGAACCACCGAAATCATTGGAATCATCTGTGAGTTCCTCATTTTGTTTTATTGATAAAAATTTTGACGTATTCATTCATGGAATTTCACCTGGAATTTAAATCTCCAGAGATTTATCATACGAAATATTTAATAATATTGAAAAATAATGCTCACAGAAAATGGAAAAATCAAGTTAAATGAATAATGAAGAAATGTATGGTGGGAATTAACATCGACAATGAGAATATTTTTGGGTGATTATTCCTCAGAGGCGACAGTACTAATGCGATATTGGTATTCTCGGAATGCGTAACTTGTTAGGGGTTTTAATTAAGGCAATATAAATCGCTGGATCGCCGAGGGAGGGGAGGGGGATACCGAGGATCCGCCAAAACCCGGACGATGAATTATTAATTACAACTTCGTGTATAAATTAGCACCCCGAGAGTTGGGACGCTCGCAGATCTGAAACTGTTTGTGTTACTTCGCACTTCCAGTGCTTTGAGCTTTTTTTAGTAATCTTAACATAAATCAGAACATTCTCCGTATCTTTCATTCGGCAATGTGAATTAATCGAATTTAATTGTAGAAATTGAATTATTTACATTATTTTTCTGATAAAATTTTTTCTAGCCGGGATCAAGTCTGCCGAAGCTGGGTTTATCCTCAGGTCTAATGAGTCAACCAGCTCCGAATTTCAGTGTCTCCCAGGTCTCGACAGTGTCGATGTCAGCTCTAGTGTCGGCAGTGAGATCACCTGGAGGTGGACAATTGCCTCCCTCAGGTGGTCCCATGCCACCAATGCCAAATATGACGAATCTACCGGGAATGCCGCCAATGCCCAACATGCCTGGTAGCATCGCGAGTATACCAGGGGCCCTTCCAAGCATGCCTGGACCCATTCGAAGAAGAATCAGTGATAAATCCACCCTCTCCCTTGCAGGAGGTAAGTCCAATAATTTTCATTCAAATAAATCCTCAAACCACGGACAATAAATCGTCATTTGTGCAACTGTATCAATTAATTGCTAACCCTTCTGGAAATGCTCTAACGAAGATCCGAGAACTCAATTATTCATTTATGTATTGTATTATTTTTTTTAACAAAATGCGTTCAACGCGCTGGCAAGAGTCCGCATTAAATTGAGATAATTTATAGAACAACGTTGAATATCCGTAGGTTTGTATGAGGAGGGGACTGTAAGGCGCAGGGTATCCATCGATAGATCTGGAATAGATATTAATGAAGGTAAAATTAATTGAAAAACTGATTAATTAAATTATTAAGGTGATGGTAGCGCTAACATATTCTCACTAAAAAAATTGTTGTAGACAGGCGTTACATAGAGATAATTACACAAGATTTTCATTTTTTATTCTTTATATTTCTATTCTTTGACTGTAGAAGATATATCTGTATTGATGGAGTGGTATTCGATTAATTATGAAATCATCCTAAGAATGACGAATTTCCAGTTAAAATGCCATGAAACCTTTTTCCTAAATTCAATCAAGTTATTTTGGAATCTCGAGTTTCCTGTACGGATTGCATAATTAATTGAATATTCTATAAATTTAGAAGTAGATGTGAGCGTTGTCGGCAGAAAATTTATCTAGCTTTCCGTAATTTCAAATATTAATAAAAATAAGTGGCGATTTCCACTCAAAATCGGAATATACGGATGACTGTTTTCTATGACTATTTGCTGATCTATCGGATAATTAAAAGAATAAATAAATAAATAAGAATAATGAATTGCCTTATCGATACCATCACCTTAATACCGATAAAACATCACTTCATTCTCAATCATCTGTACTAATCAACGATGAGTTCGATAAACTCCTGCAGCTAGAGGCTAAAATTTGCTCTTGCGGTCCTCACTCAAAACTCCATCCAATTAATGAAACTTGTTGAAAATTAATCAATTAATCGATAGGGATAAAGATGGAAAGTTATTGGAAGCATTGACTGATGAACTGGACACCTTGTTGGCGTGTCGAAAGACACGAGTTTTATTTTAATGAGTTAGGGTAACGAGTGATAGTAATTTAATTTTTGAGGAAGATGAACATGATTTTTGAAAAAATGGACTCTCGTTATTTTTTGTTCTCTTACCGATGCATCTGTTGTTTCTTCGTTTCTTGTGCTGCCTGCCCTCCCCACCGTGTAGGACTGCCCTACATGCTGGAGCGCGCTGGCCTTGACGTCCAACAAGGTACTGTCTTGACCTTATTTCGGTGTTATCCAATGTAGCTTTGTCATTGTTTTACTTGGCTGTGTGAAAATTTATGAAGTTTCTTTGACGTTTTCTTTTTCTTTTAATCAATTATGCAGCATTCTGCGACCCTCTCTTTCCCATTTCTCTAGGTAGTATGACTAAATCGAAATTAAAATCATTTATTATTTATCGAAGGAATGAAGTGGAGGAGAATAAATCAATCAACCAGTTGAAAATAAATATTTTTAATGGACTCGGCGATCTAGTGATCAAATTTTTGGGAAAATATCGTGATAGAAATTCCTTTCTATCGAAAATAATGTTGGATGAATTTAGATCTTCTGTTCAATGTTTTCGGAAATTCCACAGACACTCCGAGAATATTTTCATACTGTAATTCAATTATGAGAATTATTTTATTACTCCACTTCAGTCCAAATATATTATTAAGCACTCATGCAATTTTGAGTAATAAAGGATTAATGAAATTCTCTCATTTTAGAAATTCAACGGAATAGAGAGTTCTACAAGAATGCAGACGTGAGACCGCCGTTCACGTACGCCTCGTTAATAAGACAGGTCGGTTATTACCAACCTCATCTTACCTGAGGAATGATGTTGAATTAATTATCGGTTTAATAAAGTCATCGTTGATTAATTGACGACATGATTTATTTTCGTGTTGATAGTAGACATGATGAGTCGGAGAACTAATCATCTTCAATAATATAGATTCACTGCATTAAACTAATAAATATAAAAATAAATTAACATAATATTTCGTAATAAATCAATAACTCGCCTCATCTTGTTCTACCTCACGAGACGAATAACATTTTCAATAAATTAAATTTTGTTTTCAGTCGATAATTGAATCACCGGATAAGCAGTTGACGCTCAATGAGATTTACAACTGGTTCCAGAATACATTCTGCTACTTCCGGCGAAATGCCGCAACATGGAAGGTATAACTCTTCGTAAAATCACGGAAAAAAAATCTAAAAATTTCTCAAGAAATTGAGGATTTCAGCTAAAAATATTTCGCGTTACTCGAAGACATGATTTATCAAGGGTTTAATCAGGGACAATCTCAAGTGAATTACCTTGGCACTCGTGATTTCAGGGAAATAGTGAGAGATAACGGTGAAACGAAGTTAGGAAAATAATAGCTGTCATTATTTCAGTTTTAGATGGAAGACAAATTAGACGATTAATTTTGTAAGTTAATTGAATTTTCCATCAACAGGCTGTGGTGGAGTAATTGAGGTGTCTTTAACACTTCCGGGAGGGGGGGGGGCAAAGTTCTAATAAATTCATTAGAATTTATTTCTATTTTCATCTCAATGAAAGTTGAGAGAGACTCAATGAATTGGAAAAATTGTGGAAATACATTCTAATGAGTTAGTGTATGAAGCAAATAGTGTAAATGAGATCGTTTGAGTGATTGAAAAGCGAGAGTGTGAGTGTGTAATCAACGTTTTGCCATACAGCTTCGCCTCGCATGGTTCTGTGTTTAAACAAAACAAAAAAAAACAGAAGAGATAAAATACTATAAAGAAAATACTAAACCGGTAAACATAGTACACAAGAAAAATCTTAAGAGATTAAAGACAAATCTGCAGGTCCAAAATGATAGTAAAGAAGATGCTCCTGCTGGAGAGTTCCTGAAGAGTCTGCTGTCATCGAGACAACCTTCCCAGCCCCTCCGATCGTTACACCCTTGTTCAGCCCTGCGGCATGAAATAATTGTTGTCGTTATCCCTAGATTTTCTAGATACCTAGCTCTGCATTTAACTGATACAGGAATGCAAAACAAAAACGTGTCTCCTTTTAAATTAATCATTTTGTTTATCATTTCCATGATTTTCATTATCTAGACGATTTTTTTCATTTAACTTTCTTCTATTAATCACGAAATGTTGAAGTCACAGAACAATTATCCTCTGCTGAATTATTGTTTCAATTATTAATTAGTTCAGTAAATAATAGTAACCCATCGTCATTAGCATTTCTGACAACTTTCACAATATACACGAGTTGACAATCATTTAATCGTTTTTACGAGACACACTTGTGAAGCACATTGAATTACAGGGGGAGGATGACCTCTTGGATGCAAATTTGATAAACATCCTTTTTTTTTGAATTTCACAAATATTCCACCATCTTTAACATATTCCAATTTATTCAATTCCACCTCTTCACAATTCTTCCAACCATTTCTCTAAAAATCTTTTTCTCGAAGATATATCCAACATAAAAACTTGTTCATTCCTTCAGAATTTGTAACGACAGTGCTAAAATTTCCCGATACAACTCATCACTTTAATTTCTACGATAAAAAATCGTAGTCGCATTAACAGACAATAATTTATATATATTTTTTTGGCGAACATCCCCTAATCATCATCCACCAAATGATTTATTCATAATTTTTTAAAATCTTGAGTTGGCTTTTAATTCGTTTCTTGCGTTTTTTGCTTATTTAGTATGTGTATTATTTTGTATAGAACGCAGTGCGACACAACCTGTCTCTCCACAAATGTTTCATGCGAGTCGAAAACGTGAAAGGGGCAGTATGGACAGTGGACGAAGTGGAGTTTTACAAGAGACGCCCTCAACGCGCTTGCAGCACCACTGGGTACGTTACCCCTCCCCCTGACACGCGCGTACTTTTTTCGTATATTTCATTACTTTTTTCATCAAAATTTTTCAACTCTATGAAATATCTCTTTTTTACATACTCTATTTATCTTAGAAAACATTTAAACAATTTATCCCCAACATTTATCCATTAGTAATTGCCCCTCCTACCGTAACTTTCCCACAAATCCATTACACATTAATCTCACATTTTTTTCCATCTTTTATTGTAAATCTGTTGTACTACTGCTACACTCCCGCTAGAATTAATCTCTCCAATATTTTCAACTTAATATTTATTCACCTCTCAGTGTTTTTTCAATAATTTTATTAAACTAGATTTTTAATAGATATTCTTATCAAATATTTATACAATTTTTCATCGTACTTTTACATTTTTTACATTATCTGCCTATTCTACATGTGCGCACTTTAATACATATTTATATATCTTTGTACTTTATCCACTTTTCATATTTTTAATCACGTCGCATTTATTCTCTTTAATCTGCATTTTTACCCGTCGCCTTTGGTGTTCAATTTTTATGTACAACTCTTTACATTTATCCCGTTTTATAAATTTCTCCATCTCTTATATATCTGTGTATTTTATCGCATCAACTTAGATGATTTTTAGATACATTTTTATCGTATATTATTATATTATTTCGACGTGTAGCTTGTGTTGTGTATGTCTGCCTGCCGAAGAAATGAATACCTTACAATTAAACAATTCAACCGGTCTTTTAAAAATTACCAGTCATCACGAAATGTATTATTGAATTGTCCATAATAAAATAGTTGAAGAGGTATTGATTGTCTTATCGTGTGTGAGAATACCAAATTTGGCCGTTTGCGCAAACGCCGTCTGGAGGATATTTATGACAGGATAAATAATTTGCGTGGATGTGAAAACGAGCGAGCGAGCGTGTAGGAGTAGATGAGAAGAGAAAATAATAAAAAATAATATATAAAGAGTGTGGCTTAACAAGCATGATGGGCTTTGCAGCGATTAACCCGATTGGAGACCGCGCGAGATGTGGCCCTCAATGGTCCACAGGGATCCAGTGATTGGAGTGAAATCACTGATCGCATTCATCCTCCAACAGACATTTTTTTACAATTTCATATACAATATAAATAATTGAAAATGTGTGTTGCACGTGTCAGTTAGTGAGAAGAGAGCCGGACAAATGCAACTATTTTTTTTACATATTATCCACCCCACCCCCTTTTTGAAAATCTTTAGTGTTGTGTTATTTTTCATATTTCTCTCGCTGTCACTTTATTTAGTTGAAAAACAAATCTTTCAATCGAGCTTAATTCGAAATTACCAAGAATTCACTAAATAAATAATAATGAGACAAACGTCATCGTGGGAGAGCTGAGGCCAACGAGAAACTCAACGCAAGAATAATAATCACGAGAGATGAACGATGAGAGAAAAACAAAATAAAACAGAGAAATTAAAGTTTAAAAAAAAAAATTCTAAAGATCATCAAAAAAAAAATCATTTGTTCTCTTTTTTACTCTCTTTTTCTCTATTTCTTGGTGGTTCTTGTCTGTGTATACAGAACGCCATCCGCACCAATCTATCATTGCACAAGTGTTTTGTGCGCTATGAGGACGACTTTGGGTCATTCTGGATGGTGGACGACGCCGAGTTCGTAAAGCGACGGCATCTGTCTCGCGGCCGTCCCAGGAAATATGACCCAACCCCATCACCCACTCCACCCCACCTCTCCGCACAGTAAGCACTTACCACTTTTTAGAAAAAAAAAAAACAAAAAAACAAAAAAAACTGCTGGCTGGCTGGCGCGAAACGTAACGCAATAAATACCGTGACTGTGGAAAATTGAAATGCCATTTTTTTGTTGTTAATATTCCATGTTGGTTCGTTAATATCTATGGTACTATCATAATCATTGATCAGGATGATATTTTTTCCTCATCATGGTACAATGCAGAACGAATCGCTTGGTCGTTGTCTCTACCCCTATTTTTTGTTTATTTTTGTCCATTCGAACGCGCGGCGAGCTTGCTGATCACTCTGCTCCCAATTGCAATGATTTATCCAATATATTGTTTAAATTATTCATGATTGTTCATTCAGTTTCAAAATTCATTATAAAACTCGGTACTTTCGCAAGTCTTCGAGGCATTCAGGCTTAGCAATAGGCTACTTACTTTACTTGCATAATTTTTATTCTAGTATTTCTATTCTAAACAATCAATTCTCGTTGAAGCTATTTCCGGTGATTTACGATATCTATTTTCTTGCTTACACTTCAATTCCTCATGTCGGAAATATTTGGGTTAATTTTATCTAATTGAAATCTGTTCAACTTCTGGTGTTCTTCTGGAAATTCCCAGCAAAGTTCCCATTTTAATGAATATGACGAGAATTTCTATCTGGAGCCGACAGCAGCTCTCCGCGGTTCGCACCTCATCCAAGAAAAAAGAAAACCTAAAAGTGAAATTGAAGGAAAAAAAAAATTAGAATCACGCATCGTGCCTTACCGCCTCGTAGTTCCTTCCCCCGAGACTCAAATAAGATACAATTATCAAAATAATCCAGTAGAAAAGTATGGCCATGTTGATATGACAATCCTGCTTGCTAAATCGCGCAGAATTAATTGGGTATCGAGACGTTCTTCTTAGTTGGCCGAGTTGATCTAGAGCTTTGAGAAGACTCGTTAGGCTTTATGCTCCTCCAGAATTCGAGGATACAGCGCTTTATTGTTTTTAGGAATTATCCTGCACGACAATGAAATTTGGTTTATTGTTTTGAACCCCTAAGAAGCGCATGTGTAGGTCCTTACGGTTTTTTTATTAATTAGTAACCATCCTCACCCGAATCCCAATGGCTTAGCTTATTTAATGCTTCATTAGCGCTTTGGCAAATGATTTTTCGAAGCGTAAGTGAACGTGTGAATGTCTCCTATACTAAATGAGAAAGTGATTTTTAATTTTTTTCAACTTCAACCAGTCAATTTTTTTTCAATGAACAATGATTACAAAAATAATACAAAATATATTTATCCATAAAAAAGCGTTATTCTAAGCTGAAAAAAAAAATTAAACACTCAGATCTTACGATTCCATTTTTTTTGTTTTTTTTTTACTGAAAATAAGGAATGTGTTCTTTTTAATTAATTGTATTAATTTATTGAATTTGGTAAAAACCCCACGTGTGAGTTCAATGAATGTTTTCGCGTCAATGCTATTTGCGCATGTGTAAAAACAATGCAATGTGTGTGGTCGGATAAACAAAGTACGTGGGAGAGTCTGGTTCCGGTACCCCATCATTATCGTCATCACTCAGGTATCAGGAGTATAATCATTTCTGTAAGATTATCCATGTCTTTACAATTTAAATATTTTTACAATATTTCAATCTTTATGTCGTTGAACTTTTAAGAATTTTTACCTCTTATTAAATATTCTAGAATTTTATATTAATCATCTTGTTCGCTTGCTCAATAAAACGCTTGCGATTTTCCATGATCAGTCCGAGGATATTTCGCATGAATTTTTAATCCGCATGCAACGTCAATCCTTGGCAGAATTTTCATTAAATTATTGGAAGATTTTCATTCTCTCATGATGAAAATAATCGCTCTAATGTATTGGAAAATCGGAGATTATTTTTGAGTCCATGCGTCACGAATGTCACACTACAATTAGGAGACTTCAATTTCTCTGAGGGAGAAAGGTGAGTTCAGGTAATCCCGGACTGATTATAGACATTCCAGCCATTCTGTCACTTTGAATGTTAATCCATCAAACATAAATAAATTCGATCGTCTCAAATGAATAAAATGTGATAGAGAATGGAGGCGTTTATTCTAGCCAATTTTTTAAATCTTTAACACTCGATTACACTATTCCGAAGACCTCCAAAGGCGATCGTGATGTCTGCGGTAAGAACAAGTATTTAAACACAATCACATTTTTTGCAATTTTTTGATATTCGTACTTTTTACATTTTAACGTTTTTCTCTTTCTCTATTCTTGAACTTTTTCACTTTCAAACTCTTTTTAATCTTTCCTCCACTTTCCAATTTTTCTCTTCGCTTTTTCATTATCTATTTGTATATGTGTACTTAATAGTCTATAGATTTGTTATATTTATATCATGTATATATATGTAATACACCATCATTTTTCAAATTCTTCGTTCCCATATTTTATATAATCTTTTGATCTTCTCATTTCTACTTGAATGTTTATCGTACAATAAACTCAGGTGTTTCGGATTGTTGAATCATCCTTCTTATCCATATTTTCGTTCTCTTTTTAATTCAGAGGAGTCCCTTCGAAGAGTCCGACACTGACGCACAGCCCTACGATGTACGGTGAAGCACTTAACGCTAATCTCCAGGTAAATATTTAACGCCACTACTTCAAAGAATAATAATTATAATAAATTCATTAATATTGATAATTTTATGTGTAGGAGTCTGGATATTACGAACTACTAACTAATCCTCTAATGCAATTTGAGTATTTCCAGGCGGCATTGGGTGAGTCGAACATGGGATTTCTTAATAATTCAATGTGCACTTCAACTGCAACGAGTCCAGATAAGGAGCATGTCATGCAGCATAATGATTTAATGTAAGTTATTCATTCAAATAAAACGTCATTCCTCGATCTCGTAATTCGACGGAAAAAATGTAGCGCACAATTTTTGGATCGATAGATTGATGAGGGTTCTAAAGTAAAAAATCTGGTGAATTCCAGCAGGTCATCACTGGATGAACCAGGAATGCACATAAAGCAAGAGGGTCAAAGTCCGGAGGGTGGAAAACTCTCCAGATTAATAAAACGTGAGCTGCTGGAGGTTCAAACGGAGCACGATCACGATGACGAGGGTGTTGATGATCGAGAGTACCCAGAAAGTCATGGTCAGGACTCAGGCCAAGACGAGGACATGGCGGAGGACCTTTCGATGGCCCCCGATATAATGACGCCGGATGATCAGATCGAAGCGTAGTACTCCACCCTCTAGGCAACATTACCCCACCTCTTCGTGTCCCCCGGGCCCTTGAACTCATTCTATTAGCCCTTTACACACCCCCACGTTAACATTTAAGGAATTTAAAAAAAAAGAACGAAACAAAAGTCACTCACCATATCCAAATAAAGAATGTTGCAATATCGAAGTTAAAGGTAAAAGTAAACGATCATAAAGACTTTAAGTGAATTAGTAGAGATTTTACTCAAATTGATGACTTAGTGAGAAAAATTATAAACTCGAATAATTGAAGATCCATATCTTTATTCAAGCATTGAAGATAAAAACAAACTCAAATGACAACGATTTTGTAATTTTTTCGCTTTATTTTACGTTTTTGAAAGAAAAATCCTCAGTTTGTGTATATTTCGTATAATAGGTGAAAGAATTATCTATAAATATATTATACGTCTAGATTAAACTCAAGAGAAGAGTTGAATCACTGTAAAAATATTTTTACGAAAAAAGAAAAATGATAAGAATTAAGTAGTAAAAATCCAATTGTAATTTTCGAAAAAATATTTTCACTGTGACATTTCCTCGATGTGAGACTGGATCCTTGGATTAGGATTCATGAGTTGGTGAATTAATGAGAATTCTTCCATCGAATCAATGAGGTTCGGTGGAATTGAGGATCCAGCTTGTGTAAGCAACATTGTAGATATTAAAAATACGAGATAGTAGAGATTGTAGAGAATGTGGAGAGGAACGCGGTTCAGTCGAATTGCCAGTGTTGGCAGTATGTCGTAGGAATAAATTATAGGAACGGCTGGATGGGGCACGTCAGATAGAATTATTACGACGAAATTCAGTGAAAAATGTATTTTTCATTCCCTTTACATCACAATTCACTTTTCCATAATATAAGTTGGAATAGAAAATATCGTTGGTTGTCCAAGTAATTTTTTCAAATCAAACTGTGGACAGAATATTTGGCTCATTTATTGATTATTCGACAAATATCTTCCAAAGTATTTGTTTAAAACGGCGTATCAAAATAAATTTTTTTAGGGAATCAAATTTCCTGCAATATTAATTTCTTAACATTTTTTTCTGAACTCATTGATGCAGATATTTGCAAGTTAATCTGTGTCAGATCATGTTCACGATAAGTGAGTTTGGCAAAAATTGTCAATAACCTCAGTTTGTACAGAATTTTATGAGTTCCGCATTGTTGACTAAATTCAAATAAAATAATTAGCCTTTATCCTCTGTTGTTCACGGTTAAAAAATAAAAATCATTAATTAATCAACCGGGATAAACTATAATAGTATATATCGTCACTATGCCGTTGGTAACTTTTGTGATGATTATGTTTACAGTTTGAGGAGAAACCGAGGAAGGTGAACAAAATTGTCAGGAAATTTCTTTTCGGCTGAATGACGAATAGTATTTTTGTCATTGAGTCCGCAGGTATGATTTTACAACCGCGCACCGGTGTGACAAAAAGAAATTCTGACGTACCCAATCACAGTGAATCCCCAAAAACCTAAATACTAATTTTTTTTGGTAGCCTGTATAGTCTAGGATTTAATCTCATAAGTAGTTTCGTATTCATTCGTACCGGAATTAATCGAATTAGAATTTGTAAATGATGATTGATGGGCAGCGAGAGACGAAAGTGATTGATAATTATGATTAGAAAAACAAGTGCGCGTGAGGCTGATTAAAGATAATAGTGAAACCAGATGAATTTAAAAAATATATATATAAACTGAAGAAATGAAAAATAAAGAATACATAACTCGAGAAATAATCATTTGATCTTGGCTTAATTGAACAAAAAAATAATTCACTAAATATTGATGAGCGAATCTGAGTGAGAGAGTGAGTAATATTATATAAATACGAGAGATTTAATTGAACAAAGCTCGAGCGGATGGCAATGAGTTCAAGTAAATGAATTTAACGAGAAAAATTAAGAAAAATTATGTATTGATATACATATTATTCGTATACGTATATCAGGATATTAACATTTAGATGTCAGAGCCCTTTAACGAACAGAAACCAACCTCTCACTCTCCCACTGGAAAATAATTTTTCATATAATAAAACGAGAGAAAAAGATTATTAATAATTGAGGGAATTTCACAAAGGAAGTTATCGATTGGTTCACTTCTCGGTGCTTTTCGCATTAGTATTAATAATCATTAATCAATAAACAAGATATATCACTGTACCTCATTGCACCTGTAATCGATCTGCACCGATGAAGGAGGTGACACGATTATTCAAACAATCCATCAATTTTCTCAATCAATTCTGCGGTGAAATCGCTCTAATGGGTGTTTTCCGAAAACCATTTTAAAATCACTCATTATTGAAATAAATTCGTACTCAACAAAATCAGATACCAAATTTTTACGTTTTGACGTTTCAACGCTGAATTCGATTGTCCCTCAAAAAATGTGGACATAATTTTTTTACGTATTTAATTTTTTCCATCAGCCCCGTGAATTCCCTTTTATCCGCATTATTATCGCTACTGTATTCGCTAAAACAAAATGAAAATATATATGATGCTAATGTCACAAAAAACGTAATTAAAGGAAAAACATCGGAGATTTTGAAAAAATGTTTTTTGGATACGATTTAGCGAGAGGTACATGACGACTCTCTGGTGGTACTGAAATCGCACTCTCGACGCAACTTTGTTGATTATTTTTGAATTGATAAGCAATAGGAGAATATTTAATTTCTGTATAAAGTGAAATAAATGAGATGAGTTTATAATTTTATTAAATTTATTTTGTGAATATTTTGATGGAATAAATTACTTTCTCCTTAACTTGAAATATTGAAATTATTTTCGTTTATTACACGGTAAAAAGCAGGAGATGGGTCCAAAAATTTTGTATAATTTTTTCTGTAAAGATATTTGCAGAAAATTCAATGTTACGGTTTTCTCTGGACTTATCTTTAGTTTTATATTAGTCTATATAATTTTAGTGAATAAAATTTAGGATAAAATATTTCTACGTCTCTTTATTTCATTGAATACAGAATTTGTTGGGAAATAGTAGAAACCATAAACACCATAAAGAGAGACATTTATATTTGTATATGTTACAGAAAAAAAGTGAAGAAAGAAAGGAGAATGATAATAATAATTGTGAGATTCAGTGCCAGCTCGGGCCCCCGTTTTCACGTATCGTACTAACCCGCATACACTAAGTCTATGTAATGTGTATAATGATTAATGAATTAAGGACTCGATATACCATATAGAAAGACTCTCCTGTACATAGTAACGATTAAATGAGGCATTAGGAATTAATACACGATTTAAACAATTGTGCGATGTTTTTGCGGTATTTGTTGCTCGTGTCCTACCTTGCATTTACGTTCCACTTTCACATTTTTGTTGATTAAAGAATAATTGTTTCAAGTTAATGTTGGTTAAAATTTTATTTCTCAACTCGTAATTGCCCGATCGATGAAATTTTCGTTTTCCTTTCTGACTGTGATCTTTCGTGCGAGTAACTATTTTTTTTAATAGCTTTCTTCAGATTTTTTATAAACCCATTAGTTAAGTAAATTTTATGCAGAAAAAAATGATAGCATGGTATGAGGATAAAGGAGCAATCATATCAGCTGTTGAAAGCGATGGAGTAAATAGTGCCAAAAGAACAGAAGACAGAGTTTTTCAATTCCTCACTCCTAAAATATGATTTTTCCTATTTTTGCAGATCGAAATCTTTCAATTTCGGCTGTTTAATTTCTCCAGTCCCGCTGAAATAAGGCGCATGACTATAGTCATTGTCTCCTCTGGTTACCCACGTTTTATTGATCATGCTCACCCATTGCTGGTGAGAAAATAAAGAAAGGTGAACAAACTAAAAATCTCAAAAATCCACATTTATTGAAGAATTCTCAGTCGATTAATTAGACTTACGATAATGATAACGTGCAATTTTTTATTCCATTACGAAACGCTTTTTGAATTTTCAATAGAAAAAGAAGAGTGGGTGAGGCCAATCAATTCTTTTCGACAATCAGTTTTTAAGAAAAATGCACATCTAAATTAAATCCAGTCATGAAACTCCCCATAAACAATTTTTTGTTGTTTATTATTTTTCCATTTAAACGAGGTTTTATTGGAAATAAATAAAAAGAAAATAAATCTGTGACGGATTTTAAGATCTCAGATGAAAGAAAAAGTTCTCATATTGAGTTAACTTGTCTCGGTTCACCCAAACCGTCACTTGGTTCGATCGACCATCGATTTTTTCCAAACGCCAGTATTATGTATAGCCTCATCGTCGTTTGAGTAAATTTTCCGAATGCCGAATTCTATAAATTCAAAAAATTAAATAAAAAAATTTAACCAAAAATGAAGAATCCATTTGTTCATTTCCCACTCAATTTTCAAAGCATTGTAAAGTAATTTAGGATCTTAATTGCCTGAATTGCGTTGAGAAGTATTATATGATAAGTTGCCTTGTAAAAATGTACCGATTTTACTAAGAAATTAAATGTGTTACTGAGAGGAAAAAAGAAGAGAAAAAAAAATGAAAATGTTCAAAATAAGTGCAAGTGTTTGTCTCAATTTATTGTTCTTATTTAATTCATTTATTTTTAATATTAATCCATTCGAATTGTGGAAATCTTGAGATCAGAAAATTAGCGAATGTGTGAAAAAAAATTTCATTAATATTTTAATGAATCATCTAGACGGTGATTTAATCTGATCTAAGGTAGTCACGTGAGGACTCAATGGGATGGTCGATTTGAATAGAGCAATTGCAGTATTAGTACTCGTTTTTTCCATCGATCATACCATTCCGTCGCGGCCCGTCGCGGCGAGCGCATCGAGACGGTGCCATTCTCTGTTAACATAAAAAATTATTCCCCACAATTTT